GTAAACAACTTTTTTGCGACCGACATCCTGTGATCTCGATTTTGCGAAACTTCTCAGACGCGCCACTTCCTTCCTGTGCCAGCCAAGAGCAAGGCGATTTCTGGGAAGGAAAAGCCTGAAGAGGATTCAGTTGGTTAATAATGTACTTTTTTTTCCTTCCTCCGAAGACTCCTCCCTTTCATGGATTTTTTTTTTTACTTAGAGTCGGTCTTTGTTTTTGTGTGGCTACGAGGAAATTAGAGCGGGGGGTGGTTTTAACTCCCTTTTGTACACCCCTCTAGGAAAAGGAGCTTTTATATAGAGAAAGGAAAATGACAGTTGTGAAATATTTATTTAATTTTGGCGTATAAGGAAGGGCTTCATAAAGAGAAAAGGAAAATGACAGTTGTGAATATTTATTTAATTTGGCGTATGATTATGCGCATTTTTCTAAGTTATGAGGGTATAAGCTATGGTTGTTACATATATGTGTGTATATTGTAGGGTTCCATCTACAATTATGTATATATATATGTATATGTATATGTTGTAGTATCCACTCTACAATTTTGCCATCAACAACAATAATATATATATATATATATATATATATATATATATATATATATATATATATATATATATATATATATATATTATATATATATAGTATGATTATTCTGAGCGTCAGCAGAATAGAGGCCATTAGGTTCCAGCGGCAACACGACTTTGGTTTTGTGTCTCGGAATTGGTGTTGCGTCATCGTGTTGGACATGATACTCTCCCTCTCTCTCTCTTTTCTTTCTCTCTCTCTCTCTTTTCTTTCTTTTCTCTCTCTCTCTCTCTCTCTCTCTCTCTCTCTCTCTCTCTCTCTCTCTCTCTTCTCTCTCTCTCTCTCTCTCTCTCTCTCTCTCTCTCTCTCTCTCTCTCTCTCTCTCTCTCTCTCTCTCTCTCTCTCTCTCTCTCTCTCTCTCTCTCTCTCTCTCTCTCTCTCTTCTCTTTCCATTTCCCTCCCTCCCCTTCCCCCATCTCTTATTCCCCCTCTAACCCACCTTTCTCCTCTCCCTTCCTCTACCTCCCTGTCTCTCCTTCCTTCCCCTTCTCCACCTCCCTTCCCCTTCCTTCCCTCCTCCCCTCTCCCTCCTCCCCTCCCCTCCCTCCTTCCCTTCCCTCTCCTCCTTCCCCCCCTTCTCCTCCTCCCTCCTTCTCTCCTTCCTTCCTCCCTTCTCCCCTCCCTCTCTCCTTCCCTTTCCTTCCCCTCCCTTCTCCACCTCCTTCCTTCCCTCTCCTCTCTCCCTCCCCTACTCCCATCCCCAGAACCCAGACCAGGGCCGCGACACCTCAGTTCACCAGGAATTCTTGCGGCCGCTAACAGCTGAGCTGAGCGATTACGTGAGGGGCGAAGATCTGGATGTTTTTGCACATGGGGTTTTATGGGGTTGGCACGCATGGCGCTGCTCCGCTCGATGTATCGATTGCGGGCGTGTGTGTGTAGATGGCGTGGGAATTGTTTGGGTTGGCATTGGGTGTCTGTGTGTGTGTGTGTGTTTGGGTTTGGTTTTGGTTTTGTGTTGGTTGGTGGGGAGGGTTTGAGG